CAGGAGCGTGATTCCGCGCCACTTCTTGCAAACACTGAAGTCTCCGTTCTTCGGCAGTTTGACAAGGTAACCCTTCTTCCCTTCCTTCCAGACCTTCTGCAATAGTGGTGTGAGCATGTCCGCTGTTGTCTCTGCGTCTGTTTTCAGTGCTTCTGGCAGGATCCCATCTGGTCCTGCTGCTTTCTCGCATTTCAGTAGCTTTATAGAGTTCAAGACTTCCACTTTTGTTGGGGGATTTGTGTTAACTTGTAGTTCAGCGGCTGCAGGTGGTATTTCTAGACAAAGTGCAGGTGATGGTGGTGATGGTGGTGGTGGTGGTGGTGTTCGACTCAAGAGTTCTCTGAAGTGGTCAGTCCATCGTTTCCTTTCCATATTAGATTTGTTTATTTGATATAAAGCGCACAGTGATACAGTATTATTTAATTGATTACGTTTCGAGCATAAATTATTGCTCATAATCATATCAATGTAATCAGACTTCTTTCGACATCTGATTTTATAGTCCTGTCACCTGATCTCTCTTTGTTTTTTTGTTTTTTGATTGGTAGAGCAATAATTTATGCTTGAAACGTAATCAATTAAATAATACTGTATCACTGTGCGCTTTATATCAAATAAACAAATCTAATATGGAACTACATTCTACCACAGTGCCCAAGTATTTCACTTACATCGTTTCCTTTATTTCTCTTCCTTCCTAATTACATTTCCTTCTTCATCTTTTATTGCCTTCATCCGTGTTGATCTCTTCCATCTCAAATAGTAACCTGGTTATTTGATGCAATGTTGTCAGGTCTCTGTCTATCCTACCTGCAGCCTGTTCTCCTTCACTTGCCAGTGTGTCATAGAAGTGTCTCTTATCTTTGCACACACTCTTCTTCACTTCTTTATCAAGTGGAGTGTTTTATACATTGTGCTCAGTTCCTCTTCTCGTCGTTCATCCCTGCACTGCACTGCACTGCACTGCACTGGTTTGTCTACTACTTCACCATCACCATCACCATCACCATCATTCTCTCCCTCCTCCATCAGCTTCCATGTGGAAGTCCGTCGACATCCATTCCTTATCTCGCCTCTTCTTATTCCTTCCTAATACGCTTGTGCAGGTCGCTTTCCACATAGCTCCCAAAGACTTCCAGTCCTCATCCACACAGGTTTGTTCAGGGATGTTGCTCGATATCTCCCATTTTGTCTTGATGGCTGGCTGACGTGAAGATCTCCTTTGTAGTTTCGTCCTTCAGTCGCTGTTCCCTTCTGGGTGTTCAACTTCAACTCTGGTCTATCACCGACTTCCTTGAATTGGAGGCTTCCAACTTGATTTTGCAGGTAGGTGCCTTGCACTAGATAGTCAGTGGTCTGAGCCTACATCTGCTCCCCTTCTTCATCTGATCTTGTGTCCAGTAGGCTGGCTGCCTCTCCACTTTCTTCACATTGAGATGAAGTCGATGTGATTTTTAGTGTAGTATGTGCATCTGGTGAAATCAAATGCATGTCACTAAATGAATATGCTTGTGCTTGAACACAGTGTCTTGCCTCCAATCACCAAATCGTTGAATGCACAGAATTCTGCAAACAATTCTCCATTCTCGTTCATTCAACTAGATCTTCTTGACACATATTTAGTTCACTTCCTGTGTTGTCCACTCCTCGCAGTTTGGCATTCATGTCGCCCATTAGAATTTTGATGTCGCCACCTGGAATCTTGTCCAGTGTTGGTTGAAGTTGTCTGTAGAATTCCTCCTTTTTCTCTTCGTCTGCATTATTTGTAGGTGAATAGTGTAGCATTTTATGTCGTGACCTTCCTTCCTTTTGAGTTGAACCTTACTAACATGATCCTTCTGGAGGAGATTGGTTACCACTGCATGAGAGCCTTCGATGCTCTTCAAGGGGACATCATGATAGCCACTTCAAACTCAGTGTGCTCGTGGTTGTCATCTGTGTGACAATATCGGAGTGGATTATTGATTCTCCAGTTGACAGTTTGGAGAGTCCACTCCCATTCCATCTGCTTTCCCAAATCCTAAGCACTTCAATTTAATACTCTTCATCTCGTTTGCAATCTGGGCTGTTTTGTTTGGTTCAAACATGGTGCAGACATTCCATGTCTCCACGTTTACTTTCACTTTCATTGAGAGAAGACACGTCGGCCAATTGGCTTCTCGAAGGCAGGCTTTCACCAAACGGTGTCATTTCGCCTCTCCGATTCCAGTGAGGAATAACTTTGTTATTATTTTTTATATATCGTTTGTGCTTTGAAGTTTCTTTAGCGGTTAGATTTGTTTTACGGGGTAAGGTTGCTAGCCGTATTCCCAACCTTCCCTCTTTACCCGTGCTTATGACCGGCTAGTAACTAGTGAACTAGTTAACCAGGAGAGGTTAACACAGCCCATAATGACTTTAAAAATATATAAAGAGTTAATTTAGCTCACGTGTGACTTCCATCTAAAAACCAAAGCTCACGGTGGACTGTCACTTAATTCGATATTGTGAGCACTACTGACTCAGCTGTTTCAGATACTGTGAAAACGAGAGATAGTGGGGAGTATAAGTGAAAGATTTTACCAATTAAACTTCTTATTTGAAATAATCAGAATGACAATCGAAAGTCTAAATCAAGATAATTCAAGAAGCGAAAAGTATAAGGTCAGTGTTAAGTATATCAACATATACAACATGTAGTTCTGTCTTTAAGAGAAATGAATTTGGTAACCCATAAGGCTACGATGTATTTGAACAACTGAACTGTTTGCCCAGGTGTCTGACTAAATTTACCCGGGATTTCTTTTAATAACTGTAAGAGAAAGTTGAAAACATTCTAGTATTTCGAGCTAATGATAGTATAAATGTTGCTGAGTAAGGATCATGATGTAGAACTCCGGTTTTGTCCGTGGTCATTTTACTAACAATAATATTTTCAGATTTTTGGTTATATCAAGAAAATCTGAGGACAGATTGCAAAGTCCAGCGGTAGGCTGAATTGCCAATTCCAAACCCCTCTGCAAATCAATAAAATTTCCGTCAATAGACAGACAGAGATACGTAGGACACAGACGATTCTATGGATGCCGTCTTTGTGAAACCTGTAGATTTTAACTACGAACTGTGCTCTATCTGCTTCGACCTAAATAGAGAGCCAGTATCACAATTCCTCATGTAGCAGGTGTGTCTCAAGAAGGATTAAATACATATACAATTTTCAGTTAAATTGCTAGGCGATGCTTCATAAAATATGTATTGAAAAACATTTAACTATCCAGTCCTTACCTTGCAAAATCTGTTATTTGTGTAGCCTTTAAAGGCCAGATTAGTCTTAAAGTATGGAAGTATAATTTGTTAGTTCAGCAATTGTTATTTATGGAAAATTCCAAAATTTGTAAACGACTAGATTAATTATTTGTAAACCTCACTTCCTTATTTATCGTTTACATTTTCAACTAACTTAACGACTGCAAATTTTTATTTTTTCCTAGTTATTTTAGTTATTCATGTAGAAATTCACTTCAGGAAGTCATTTTTGAATACAAATGTGAAGTTCACTAGTTATAATAAATTATTTGTTTGTGATTCTCTAAGAATTTTTGGCAGTTTACATTGCCACGATGATTACTTGCATGAAATAGTTATCCATAGTCTAGCTCAGTTGCATTAGTTGGCCTGCTTACAGATTTATGAGGTTAAAATTAATAACTGATTCCTTAACAAACAAAGTCAAACATACGATTGACAATTAGAATGCAAAAATGAAATTTATGTGATGTACAGTATTGTGTTAATAACAGAAATGGAGACTGATAAATTAAAAGCCTCGAACTTGTACACATGTATGGGCTTATCAACATCAAAAGTCTTAACAGTAAATACGTTATCAAAATAAACATGAGAGTTGTATCGAAAGCAAACCTTGCTGGGAAATTTCTAAAACCCACAGATATGCAGGTTATTTGATCAAGCTTTGGATGAAAAAATACTAGAAGTGAGATGGAAACTCAACAAAATAACTAAAGGTGGTAAAAAAACAGTCATGGAATGGAGAAAAAAGGAATATACTTGGAGGCTAAAATGATAAAAATACGAGTCCAACGGAAAAGGCTTATAATAAAGGTAAAGTACAATTGTGTGGGATGCCATAGTACTACTTGATAAAAGCAAATAGTATAAAGCCGAAACCATAAAAATAACTGATAATGAAATAGAAAATAAAAGCATTACGTTTCTCTTCTATTAGATTAAAACTATCAGTCAAGTTCACCAAAAATGATAATAAACTTACGTAAAACGTCAAAGAATGGGTCGTTAAATTTTCCTTAACTTTATTTTTCAGTTTGGAAAAATGAGGTGTAAAAAAATTTAATTCTTACAGTAAAATATTCAATTTGGAGGTTGGTTTGCATTGATTGTTTCAGTTGAGTATTACCCACAGACTTCTGAGAAGCTGAGTATTCCCATATTAGGAAGAAATAGTTGTCCAGTCTTCCCAGGTTTTCAGTTGTTCTTTAGTTGATATCAGTCCATGCTGAATACTATCCTGGAGTAAGAATAATACTTAAAAATCTACTTAATATAATTTCATAGTTAATATTCAGTTTTATAGCTGGTGCTTACTAGTTCACATAAATATGAATGTACGAACTCTCAAGCAGTGAGAGTTATTTCCTAGTCAATATTGGTTTGCTTATTTTTCTTTAGACATATTATGCAAATTCTTCATGACTGAGCACTGCGTGAGTATGTAGTAATTCATAAAACTGATACACGCCTCAGTAAAGTGAATAGATAGATCTCAAAGTCTTAAGTCAAGTATTCGCCTAGTAACGTCATTTATGGTGATAAGTACTTTAGAATCCAACCAATCACCATTATCATCATCAAAACTTAATTAATATATTTGTAGATACAGTAACCCTTAAATTTACTATCTCTTCGGTATCGATTTGAATGATCAGTTAAAACTTGAAAACATTCTGTGTAGTTTTATATTTACTTTTTTGTGTATTCGATAGATGAACTGGCAACAGTCATAGTAAAACTGAGAGAACTGATTACACAATCTCTACGGAATCGCCTTCCGGCAGAAAACTTGCATTATGAACCAGTTATTAAACATATGAAAAATACTGAAGGCGAAACAATTAAACATGGTGATCACCTGCCATCCCTATTGTCATCTCAAGTTAAAAATTTATTTGGACGAAAACATTCACTGTCAATAGCACAAGATATAATATACCTTTATTCTGCTTCATCAAGATCTTTGCTCAGACAAGCAACAGATTTCTATGAATCTACTCACAGTAAGTCACATAAATGTTCGAAAAGAATGTAATTAACTTTTGGCATTATGAAATTTGATGAAACATTATTTGTCTTTATCGATTCCAATTATCATAATCAAGTCGAGTTAAGACAGAGCTAAACATAAGAGAAATAAATGCTGATTGTAGTTTATTCCAGTATAAAAATGATTGATTTTCAATGAAGCTCGTTCAATAATGAATCTCTAAACACAAAATATCATTTTAATGAGTACTAAACATGTCTAAAAGGGATCAGTGATTCTTTGTTTAGTAACTATGTTAAAACATAAAATGAATTCTTAAGAGGGTACCTATCATACTTAAACTTATCTATTTTCATGGTTACATCTCAGTTTGCAGGCACCTATGACCAGACATAAAGTAAAGGATAGAGAAAGTCGAGGTGGACTCCTTTTGTGAGAAGATGAAAGGAAACGACATCTGTTGCTTCCATCGATAAAAGTTGGAAACGTTTCTGGGTTAACCTCTGTTCTGTCTTGTTCTGCTTTGATTTAAACGATATGCTTAGATTATAGGGTGGGGACATTATTATGTTGAACACTTTATGACTGTGTCGTTTCTTGTCATTTTTGTTTTGAGAGGCATTCATTTTTATTCCAAACCTAAATAAAGCACAAAAAAAGACATTCCTTAGTTTGAAAGCTGCCAGAATCGTGCGGACGACTGTTGCAGTTACATTGCAACCAACCATCGTTAAAGAGCCTTAATGAAGCTTTCTTTCCCTTTTGGAATAGGTGCCACTTCATACGTATACACATTGACCCATGTATCGGCGAAATACTCAGCCTTTTTTAAGTGGCTTGAATATTAAACTGCGAAATGTGGAGGTAGCACGTTATTAGTAAGAAAAATTACAGCTATTCTCGTCATGAAGAAGCCAGAGGCCATTGTCAGCCTGCAGATAGACAGGAAAATCTATCAATAACTTCATTCAAGAACATCGGTCCAATTTTGAAAATTTTCATCAGTGCAGAGAAATAAAATTATCAATACTTAGAAGATATTCGACCAAAAAAGTTTAGATGACAGAAGGAGGAACTGATAAACATAACGTTCTTATCAAGAGACTGTAGGAAAAGCTGACAAAGTGTAGCTAACGACCCGCAGTTAGCGGTCAGTATAAACTGTTATATTTCGGAAGCCGTATTCAAACAGTTCGAATACACAGAGCTTACGTTTTTCGGCTCCGATCACTATGACAAGCTAGTCTAAACTTCAGATAATTAGTAGGCTTCATAGTGGTCTTATTAACAAAGATGAAATACATGGAGATTATATGAGCCTAAAGTATCACTCATTCAGTTAGTTGAGAGAAATAAAGAATCATGAACAAAAACGGTGGTAGTTGATGAGACGGTTGTCAAGAATATTGAGTCGTTGGAACTATCTTAAATCAGATAGAAAGAAAATCGTACTTAACATACTGAACATCATTTTGGTTGGCTCTAAGTCTACCAGGTAATTTGAGTTTCGACGGAATTTCACTCTTCCGAACTTCAACCACGCTTGTTAAACTGCTTCTGACTTGAGTGAGAGTGAAATGTGGTTTAAGTAGGGCTGTCTAAAGGTTGGATATAGGGAAAACTTAGTTTTTCTTGCTCATGCTCTAACTAGCGGTTCTAAATCAGATATAGTTCCTTCTTTATTATGATAAATTAAGGTTGTTTTTTAGCAATGAACATATAAGAGATACTCTGACCAACGTAATCACGAAGCATCTAGACTCAGTAATCGTTTGATGCACGTATGGATCGCTAAAACAGTAAAATCAAGAAAGCTAAGCATGGTTGACCTAATTTGGGTGTAATAACTTAAACTAATCTCTTAGTGTTTTCTGGAACAGTGGCATACTGGCGACATATCCAGTATAATTTCTCCTACATATAAATGTGGCATTCGATTTCAACAATAGAAAGAGCTCTTGGTGTACATCTCACTGAGAGATGGGATAGAAACGCTGATAGCCTTACTGAAACCTCTAATCAGGATAACATGTGGTTGTATTAAAGCCCTGAAAGAGGAACCTTCTGAGATCTCTGTATTGAAAGGCAATCATCATCAGCGCTTAATTCTTCTCTTTTCGTCCACAAAATCAATGACGGTGGTTTGACTGCGCTCGCTTTTCTTCAGGGTGAAACTGATTGAAGTGTTTACCATGTTTCGTCTCCTCATTCTTCGCATAATACCACTGTTTTAATATTTGTTTACTTATCGTCAATTGCTAGAAAGCTTAGAAAATCAAACTGACGTACTTCTGTGTTCAGATATTTTTGCTTCTCAGCCTGTTTATATCTGTTACTGAAAACCTAGGTTGTTTAAGTGATCACTGGTTTCGTTACAAATCTCATTCAATGTATAATTTATGTGAAGTGCTTACTGCTGACAAATTTAAAATTATATCGCTTTTATTTTGTACTTCATAAATACTACATGATCTTTTGGTTTCCTTTGATAGCAGTTTACATCAATTTCGTGATCATAAGATCTACTTTTTAGCTTCTCAACTAATCTTTTGTAATCCATAGTTATCTTTCCTAATGAAGTGGGAATATTGCAAACTCATTATTCAGTTGCTCCACTAAATTCGAACTGTTTTGTAATTCATATCTGCTTCAAGAAAGATTGAAATCTACAAAATGATCTTTTAAAAAATATACACTGAAGATATTCTGAGTATTTTCTAAACCTTGAATTTATGTTCTAACACAACGATTTTCAAAATGGATGCATTTTGCAACTCTGGTAACACTGCAATATGGAACCATTGGCTTTGAAGGCTAATATGGAGTTCCTAAGAAGCAGTTTCCAATGGTTAACTAATGATATTTTTGACATCCTGAAAGCCTAAATAAAATCAACAGACTTTTGTACAAGAAGTAGTGTTTAACTGTTGAAGTGGTAGACAAATCTGAAAATGAGACTTTGGAATTTTGTTCTCTCAAAAATACCAATCAACCAGTGATAACTAAATATATCGGAACAATTAAAAACTTGTTGATAGATAAAACCAAGGAAATAAATCTGTTCTCATGTCTTACATCAAACTTGGTACATGAATTCATTGAGAAAACTTAAGTGATTGGAATATCCTACCAAACAACTTTGTATCTGAAATCTGATGGTCAGTATAAACCACTTCTTATGCAACAGTCTATATTTGTTATACATGAACCATTATTGAGGAGTGCAGAAGACCCTGATTTTTAAAAATTTTGCAATTACTACGCAAAGCCCAATATAATATTTGAATACTACCTCAACAACATGACACTGTCACGAAACCTACTGGCCAAAGCATGAAAGTGATGTCTTCAGCTAAAAAACCTGGCAAGTATATGATAGCTTTGAGTATACATATATTCCAGAGTGTGTTCAGAGATGAAACCCTGAATAATAAACTCTAATGTAGGTCTAAAACTTGCCCGATATTTTTAAATTCGCTGTTCTGGAATTCCGGTTAGTATCAGTTAAATATAACTAAAGATTTCTGAGACCTAGCCTAGTTAACTAGTTCATTAGCTACTAGCTTGTCCTAAGACCAGATGAAGTAGGAAGACTGGGCGTAGTGCTAGCAACCCTACACCGCAAAACCAATCCAATGGCTAGAGAAAATTCATAACATAAAAAGAATATTAAAAATATAAAAAAATCATTCCTCGCTGGAATCGGAGAGGCGAAATGACGCCAGTTGGTGAAAGCCTCCCTTCGGGAAGCCAATTGACCAGGCCGATGTGTCTTCTCTCCCTCGATGAAAGCGAATTTAAACGTGGGGACATGTAATGTCAGCACCATGCTTGAACCCAGCAAGGCAGCCCAGATTGTAAACGAGATGAGAGGGTATATCACTGAAGTGATGGGAATCTGCGAAAGCAGGTGAAATGGAAGTGGAATCTCCAAACTCTTAACTGGAGATTGAATAATCCACTCCGATATTTTCACCCAGACAACAACTATGAGCACAACGAGTTTCCGAGTGAGTATAATGATGTCCTCAACAGCATCGAAGGCTCTCTGTGATGCAGTGGGAATCAATCTCCTCCACCATCAGGATCATAACAGCAAGGTTCAAATCAAAACGAAGGAAAGTCACAACCATTCAATGTAACGCTACGCACTTATAAATAATGCGGATGAAGAGAAAAAGGAGGGATTCTGTAGATAACTCCAGTCAATCAGTACTGGACAAGACTTCAGTTGGCGACATAAACATTTTGATGGATGAGGTGACATGAATGCCAAACTACGAGGAGTGGACAACACAGGAAGAGATCTAACAATGGGTCGAGAAGCACTAGGAGAAATGAACGAGAATCGAGAATCGTTTGCTGAATTCTGCGAATTCAACGATTTGGTGATTGGAGGCGAGACACTGTGTTCAAGCACAAGCATATTCATTTAGTGACATGCATTTGATTTCACCAGATGCACATACTACACTAAAAATCACATCGACTTCATCTCAATGTGAAGAAAGTGGAGAGGCAGCCAGCCTACTGGACACAAGATCAGATGAAGAAGGGGAGCAGATGTAGGCTCAGACCACTGACTATCTAGTGCAAGGCACCTACCTGCAAAATCAAGTTGGAAGCCTCCAATTCAAGGAAGTCGGTGATAGACCAGAGTTGAAGTTGAACACCCAGAAGGGAACAGCGACTGAAGGACGAAACTACAAAGGAGATCTTCACGTCAGCCAGCCATCAAGACAAAATGGGAGATATCGAGCAACATCCCTGAACAAACCTGTGTGGATGAGGACTGGAAGTCTTTGGGAGCTATGTGGAAAGCGACCTGCACAAGCGTATTAGGAAGGAATAAGAAGAGGCGAGATAAGGAATGGATGTCGACGGACTTCCACATGGAAGCTGATGGAGGAGGGAGAGAATGATGGTGATGGTGATGGTGATGGTGAAGTAGTAGACAAACCAGTGCAGTGCAGTGCAGTGCAGTGCAGGGATGAACGACGAGAAGAGGAACTGAGCACAATGTATAAAACACTCCACTTGATAAAGAAGTGAAGAAGAGTGTGTGCAAAGATAAGAGACACTTCTATGACACACTGGCAAGTGAAGGAGAACAGGCTGCAGGTAGGATAGACAGAGACCTGACAACATTGCATCAAATAACCAGGTTACTATTTGAGATGGAAGAGATCAACACGGATAAAGGCAATAAAAGATGAAGAAGGAAATCTAATTATGAAGGAAGAGAAAGAAAGGAAACGATGGACTGACCACTTCAGAGAACTCTTGAGTCAACCACCACCATCGCCACCATCACCTGCACTTCGTCTAGAAATACCACTTGCAGCCCAGCCACAGAACTACAGGTGGATGCAAATCCTCTAACAGGATTCGAATTCCTGAACTCCATAAAGCTACTGAAATGCGAAAAAGCAGCAGGACCAGATGGAATCCCACCAGGAGCAAAGAGGGCGGACGCATAGACAACAGCGGACATGCTCACACCACTATTGAAGAAGGTTTGCAAGGAAGGAAGTAACGAAGGCTACCTACCTGAAGATTGGAAGAATGGTTACCTTGCCAAACTGCCGAAGAAGAAGGGCGACCTAATTGTTTGCAAGAACTGGTGAGGAATCATGCACCACTCCTGTCTACCCCAAGCACAATTTTAGGCAGCATCATCCTGGGGAGACTAAGAAACACGCTGAATTCAAAACTACGACCAGAACAGGCTGGCTGGCTGGCTGGCTGGTTTCAGGAAGTACAAATCATGTGCGGACCAAACTGCAACACTGCGCTACGCATCATCATAGAACAGAGCATAGAATGACAATCAAATGGGTCAGAAAATGCATTTCCAACGAACTACAGACATTCATCAACAACTGCCCATACTCGTTACTGAAGATCAGATGGCCTGAATAATAAGAATAAGCAACAAGGAACTCTGGCCTGGCAACGAACCAACGAAGCAAGAACCAGTACGAGAAGATTTATCTTTTTTCCTGTAAATAAGCACAATTAGCAACTGAGATTGTTTTTATAGAACCTAATCTAATATGAATATGCTAGAGAGTACCTCAATCACGCTGACCAGTAATCCATAATTATCTTTCTTAAAGTTCTTTGATCATAATCGTCCGAACAACTTTGCGTCGTTTCCTGCTTTAAAAGGCCTATCTAACCTCGACAAGTGTTAAAATACCGAAATATAGATAACTTTGGTGTTGAAGTCTAGTGTTGAGGAAATTAAGCCAGGCACTGGATGAATTCATCCGGCGTCCCGGCTTTCCATTCTGAAATGAGCACTGGGGTTAAACTTTTCCTGTCACTTAAGTTTACAATTGCATACAGTAATATCTACAACGAAAAAAGTGTTCGAACAAAACAGTTACATAAGGAATTACTTGATCATTTCATGTTTTAATGCTTGTGCAACTAGTGAAGGTTCATTAACAGAGAATCTAAGTTACTTTCATGGTGTAATAAATCGTTTGAATTTTAGCTACTTTTGCAGGTAAACAGTATATAGCCCAATTAAGGTTTGCTTACCGGCTTTATTTGATTGAATTGCTTGAAAACGATTTATGAACTGAATCGTGAGGAATATGAAAGCCTAGTAGTCTCAAGAAGAGTCATACCTAAATTGTATTACATTTGTATAACATTCTAAGCTATTTTATCGTCTGTTGAAGTTACTTGATTAGCTTTCATTGATATTTTTACTTGTTTCTTTCCACTGAAGTGACTCGAACCGCTGGAAGAATGGATATGTTAGTGGATGAAGTAATTCGGAACTACACCATCTCATGTTCCTCCTCTTCTGTTGGAAGTAATTATTTACAAGGTGGTAACAATTCACTCTCATTAAACAGAAGATTAAGTACACCGCTAGTACAAGCGTTAACAACCTCAAATACATACTTTACAAGCCAAGATGAGGAAAAATCACTAGACACAAGAAGTTCAAGTACTATTTTCTATGAATCTTCAGAGTTTGCAAAACAGAATAACTATAAACAAGAAGACCACCAATGTGCACCAGCATCCAAAGTAAATTACCCAGGACCACCGCCTGAATTCAAATTAATTTACAAATAAATTTTATAAAATATGACTTTCTAGATGGCTCACTTACCACTTTATTGCGCAACTTATCTAATCTACAGATTAAAAGAATTTTTGTCACATCACTGAAAGACTCTTCCTTTTATCATAAAATGTGTATTTATTTTCCTCATAAGAATAATTTTCAAAGTGTGAGAAGAAGAATGGTAAATCTGAAGTAAACCTGTGATATAAAAATGATTTTTTTTAATGAAAATGTTTGCTCATTCATTCCGTATATACTCATTCTTTTCCTTTCTTAATATACTTCAAATCAACAGAGAATTTGAAATAAGTTTTTCCTCTTATTTTCCAGTTACTTCATTCAAATAGGTTATCATATTAAAATATTCTTCAGCAGCCATTTTATGTTGATTGTATCGAAAAGAAGATGTTTTCCTTTATACCATTTTTCATTCTTTACCTACATAAAAGTATTATAACTTTCTTTCGAAGTGACAAACACAGATACTCAAAATATTGGCAATGATAATTATTTCTTAAACATTTTTAGTGATATTATTTTCAATATCCTAACTGCATTATTCTCACAGAAAAGCGATCATTTGATGCGTAATGACTGGAATCCAGAACTATTTCTACTTCTTTTTTACGCAATTCATTACGCATCTGTTCCGCATAATAATTACAGTCATAGTGTTAATAACAATAATAATAAGCTTATTTTGATATCGGATAAGTCACAGTTCATTATCGTCATGTCTGCTAGTGGTTATCAATATATCTTGTAGATTCTTCTGTTAGTCAGTTCAGAAATACACTACAATATCTTTCAGTGTAAATTTGTACTACCATGACCTAACCAAAAATATTTATAATAGTAATAAAAGTATGGGTTTACGAAAGGTTGATTTTATTTAAATAATAAAATATTCAGTGATAAAATCTCTCACTGTATTTTTTCTCTTCAGTCTGCCTGATTTCTTCTTTCATCTTGTTATAATTTTGTATATTTCTTCAAACTGTAAATTTATGAAATCCCTCGTCTGCTTTCCTTGACTATTATACTTATGTGAATTTCACACACATATAAACCTGGCCAATGTCAACACAGGTACTGATTCTTTCAAGAGAAACGGGATGATGTAACAAGAAGTGGTAGTTCTTTGTCAGAAATTTCGGTTATATTGCAATGGACACTAAGATGTTTTCAAAATCATATGCATTTCAATGTTAATAACAACAATAATAATATTAATAATGACGATGGCTCTATCCCGACAGATATTTCCCAAATACTGTACATAATTTCCAGCATGTTACATAGCATCAATTGGACAGGAAGGGTGTTTATATACATATACATAATAAAATGAAATAAGTAGAAATTATAAATAAAAGATAAGAACATTTGCTTCATCTACAAATTTATTGAGAATACAGAGTTAACTTAAGCAAATGGTCACTCAAATAAATGGTAATACAATAATAGCAGCTAGCTGTGTAATCTTTAATTAGCTTGTTTTCAGAAACAAAATTTGACTAATCAGTTCATTTTCAACACTCTCACACAGGCTAATAACTGAATACTGTATTGTAGAAATTTTATATCTAGTAGTATATGCATAAAGTCTTATATACCCTATTCCTGTCTTGTCTGAGGACCAACGACTAGAGAAATTTCAGTAAAGAGGATTGTGGTCATCAGATAAATTCAGTCTTTCCAGATATTTACATGAGTTCAGATGTTTGTATACAACAATTTCAATTTGAAGGCTTAGAGACACAACAACAGTTCTGCTAACAGTATTCAAAATTTTACTCAATATCACGTGATATGTTTTTCAGTTTTCGAGAAACAATAAAGGAGAATACATAAGATGCAGGTTTTTACGAAACACAAGAGAAGAGGCTGTCATACTATGTGCTGTCGGCATCCTTATGTTGAACGCTATGCGGAAAATGTTTTTGTAACTTAGTAATATACGGAAGCACCGGGAAAGGTTCGAAGTAAAGCACACACCAAGATAAATCACAGTAATGCAGTTTGTTTAATCACTTGCGAATATGAAGCATATATGACTCGACTTGCACCAATGGGTGTCGATGAAGGTAGCTACACCACCTCCAAGATACGTCGATCCAGACCAAAATTTTGATACTATGAAAAGAAGCTGAATTACTGTCATAAAGATCTTGCATCCAAGTTTCTTGTAATGTAATTACTTCAGCATAAGGGCACATTTTGAAAAACGGCAAGGAACTGAAGTCCGTGCTTAGAACTTCAGACAGAGTCATTTGAGATGCTGTTTGCTTCAAGGCACTTTAACATCCACCGGCTGCTTTTTCCCCACCTTATTTGATAAAGGCATCATAGTAGCTTACAAACTTTTTTAAAAACATGCTTGAGTATATAATGTGGTCCACTGACATAATAAAATGGCTAAAACAAACTAAACAGCATAAAATTTTGATGCAATATAAGAGATGGAAAATCCAGTAGCCCAGGTATACAAGCAGACCATCGTCAAACAAAATTAACATACGGCTACAGAAGTGTTCTATGAGTCACAAAATTTATTCAGTACCTTTCACCTTATATTCGATTCATTCTGGATTTCCCGCGACAAAGCTTTTGTAGAATACAGATATTACACCGACACAACAAATAAGGAGATTTATAACTAGATGCAATACTAATAAATATATACAAATAATGCTTCTTAGGATTTCAGCTACTGAGAAGGCTGATGTTTTGTATAGGATAAAGACATACAGTTCATGTCCACAAAACACCTTCTCTCTGTCTTACAATATTTATACGAGTTAATTTCATCCTACCAGAATTTTCTTACTCATCTGCAGCTTCAGGCTAACGGAATAAAACCGTACACTATAGGTAACCGGCAAATAAATGTACCTTTGACCGTGTGGCTCAGTTGGTGGGGTACCAGACCAGAAACTTAGCGTCCGCTAGTTCGAACCTCACCGCGGTCCAAATTTCCATTTCACCTTCAGTTATCCCTCAGTATCAATTAAAAGATAGTCACTGTTTTGTATACATGTGGGGATCCATCTTTCAGAAAGTAAAACACATAAATCAAACTGGAAAATAAAATAGCACATGCTATTTTTTTATGTTACTGAGAACACTGAGAAGGCGCTTAAACACTTTCTATTAGTGGTTCAGTTTACTTTTTTTAGACTGATGAATCTTTATTTTGGTTTTCGAACGTAACTTTCATTTCTTCAACATGTTGATATCATTATCAATAACTTCATGGACGTAATTCACCTTTTCTTTGTACATCAGGAAATTCTTATAAGAATATTTTGACTATCTCAAATTGAGAATAATGGCATCACACGTCATGCTGTCTTTTACATTCATCTTATTTATTTTCATGAAGTTCAATTCTTCATCTACTTTCAATGCTACTGATTACTGTTGGGGTTTACTCCCTGCTTTCAAAATTTATGTTCATTTTAGTGGTGAGCAGGAATATCTTATATTAGTAATGCACTAGACCAAATGTCTTTTGGTTTCCTCCTTAATATAATCACACAACGTCGACTGTTTTGAAATAAACGAAAAGATTTGTAGCTAAATATAGAGATGATGGTGGTTTGGATCTTAAGAAAGGATGAAAAGCCAATTTATACGAATGGAGACATGTTTACTTGCACAGGAAAAGAAGTAGTGATCAAATCCCAAGTAATACAGAAATATTATCCAGTCCACATAACAAACAGAACTGAGGAGTCTTCAGTTTCCAAAAATATTACATAAGTGTCCAAATTTACGCGAACTAGAGAATGTAAAGGACAGATTCATCAAAATGCTGAAAATCGAGTTTCACAGCCAAGAAGCAGATGTTTCATAATGAAGTTACGCTGAGTTATCAGAAAAAGATGAAAAAATTTTCGTACACAGCACATATAACCTCGCTTGCTTAAATAATTCAATAACTACTAGCCAGTCATAAGCCCAGGTAAAGAAGGAAGGATAACCAAAGGGATAGCAACAATACCCCGTAAAACCAAACCAATAAATATTAATATTATACATCTACCAACTGTACCCTGAGTTCCCAGAGGAATATGCAGATTCAGTAGCACGCCTCCATTCTACTCTGTTCTCTGCAATCTTTTAAACCTGGCTCTGCGACTGCCCTGATGCTCTCACTTCCCCCTCACATGATCTCCTCCATGTCAACCCCTCCTCGGACGCCCAACTCGTCGTTTCCAATTTGGGTTCCACTCGATGGCCTGGCCTGCAACGTGATTTCTCCGAATTGTATTCTCAGTGCATGCCCAATCCACCTTCACTTCCTTCTGCATATTTGTTGAGCGATAGGTTCCTGCTTCGTTGGTTCGTTGCCAGGCCAGAGTTCCTTGTTGCTTATTCTTATTATTCAGGCCATCTGATCTTCAGTAACGAGTATGGGCAGTTGTTGATGAATGTCTGTAGTTCGTTGGAAATGCATTTTCTGACCCATTTGATTGTCATTCTATGCTCTGTTCTATGATGATGCGTAGCGCAGTGTTGCAGTTTGGTCCGCACATGATTTGTACTTCCTGAAACCAGCCAGCCAGCCAGCCAGCCTGTTCTGGTCGTAGTTTTGAATTCAGCGTGTTTCTTAGTCTCCCCAGGATGATGCTGCCTAAAATTGTGCTTGGGGTAGACAGGAGTGGTGCATGATTCCTCACCAGTTCTTGCAAACAATTAGGTCGCCCTTCTTCTTCGGCAGTTTGGCAAGGTAACCATTCTTCCAATCTTCAGGTAGGTAGCCTTCGTTACTTCCTTCCTTGCAAACCTTCTTCAATAGTGGTGTGAGCATGTCCGCTGTTGTCTATGCGTCCGCCCTCTTTGCTCCTGGTGGGATTCCATCTGGTCCTGCTGCTTTTTCGCATTTCAGTAGCTTTATGGAGTTCAGGAATTCGAATCCTGTTAGAGGATTTGCATCCACCTGTAGTTCTGTGGCTGGGCTGCAAGTGGTATTTCTAGACGAAGTGCAGGTGGTTGTGGTGGGGCGACCTAAGTGTTTGCAAGAACTGGTGAGGAATCACGCAGCACTCCTGTCTACCCCAAGCACAATTTTAGGCAGCATCATCCTGGGGAGACTAAGAAACACGCTGAATTCAAAACTACGACCAGAACAGGCTGGCTGGCTGGCTGGCTGGTTTCAGGAAGTACAAATCATGTGCGGACCAAACTGCAACACTGCGCTACGCATCATCATAGAACAGAGCATAGAATGACAATCAAATGGGTCAGAAAATGCATTTCCAACGAACTACAGACATTCATCAACAACTGCCCATACTCGTTACTGAAGATCAGATGGCCTGAATAATAAGAATAAGCAACAAGGAACTCTGGCCTGGCAACGAACCAACGAAGCAGGAACCTATCGCTCAACAAATATGCAGAAGGAAGTGAAGGTGGATTGGGCATGCACTGAGAATACAATTCGGAGAAATCACGTTGCAGGCCAGGCCATCGAGTGGAACCCAAATTGGAAACGACGAGTTGGGCGTCCGAGGAGGGGTTGACATGGAGGAGATCATGTGAGGGGGAAGTGAGAGCATCAGGGCAGTCGCAGAGCCAGGTTTAAAAGATTGCAGAGAACAGAGTAGAATGGAGGCGTGCTACTGAAGCCCTATACTCCACTAGGATTTCAGGGGACACTATAATAATATTAATCCTTATTTTCAGACGGCGCCAATACAAAGTGATATGTAGCAATTTGTGTTGATATAAGATCTAGTATCAACTTAGGGAACACTAGTGCACCTTCATTATTACTGCGTGTAAATTTTTATATCCAACATCAAAGAAAATGTCCCATGCATCAAAAATTTTCTCCTGCTTTCATTTGCTAAATAACAATGATGATATAAGTTATGCTACTTATCTGGATTTTTACGTTGGTATGTGGATTACTGCACTCAATTCCTCTACAAGGTTTCTTACGGTAAACAAATCTAAGTGGAGAACTTAGTCCTATCATAGGCTTTATAAGTATACTAAAAGGAAAATCGTTACACATATTTTTGAAGGACGCTGGTAACGGTTTATGCTGTCACTTCTTTTAAATGAGGAAGGAAACAAAATCCAGATTTAGAAATATCATGAAATATAGGTCAGAAAATTAAATGTTTTTATCCCTATTTTATTCATTAAAAATTTTTATCATGAGCATGATTTCCAGCGTTAACTGATAATGGTTTGATAAGGTATGTTTAAAGTGGAATAGTTCCTATACTTTATGACTAACTGCAATAGCAACCTGCATTTACATCTCAATATGCAACAGGGTGTTTTGAGACTATGAAAAATTACAAAGCGCTATAGCGCAAGCAATACTGCTATCCATAACATACTGACTACTCGTTTTGAATAAAGGGAAATAAATACA